ACGCGAATAGGACGCAGGGTGCGACACTGGTGCCGTGTCCCACTGCAGCTGCGACTAGTTTCGAAGAGGGGGAAGCGTTCGGGTAGAAGCGAGATAGGAAAATTTCGAGCATTAGTGGAAGGGCGAAGGACTGAAGGAGAAGAGGGATCGAAGAGCCGGCGGAGAGAGAGACGGAACAAGTTAACGAGAGGGAAAAGGGCTGCTGTTCGGTGGGACAAGGAAGCAGAGGTGAGAGAGAGGGAGCGTGACCCCGGCATCGAAGGCAGAACAAGCAAATGACGAGGTATGGGGGAGGTACGAGGAAGAAGAGAGAGGGTAGGAGAGAGAAAGAGGGCGAATAGTTCAAGCAAGATGAAGTTTCCCTATCTCGGCACTCCTCGTCCTGACGGTCTTGTTCAGTTCGCATAAACGTGTCGACGGACGAGGTACCGGCTATTCCGCTGTATCGACCGATCTTTCCGGCCGCCGTTCTACCCAATTCTCCACGTGTCATACCGAAAGTGGTTTTTCGGCTCATCATCATGTCCAGCGAGTTCCTCGGAAAACGTTACAAGCTGTTCAGCAGCGAGAACTTCGACGAGTTCATGAAGGCACTTGGTACGTAATCGATTGTACGATTTTTGTTGTACCGTTGAGATCGTTCAAAGTGCACGAAGAATTTTAAGATGAGTGCGCGATTGACTGTCGACGTGAAAAACTCGGTAAGCGGCGTATCATTTAATGCTAATATTCTTGCGATTAATGACAGCTATTATTTCAGATTAAATATTGTAATTATTTATTCGAAATTGTGATTCAAAACTTTCGAAGTTTTCGATATATCAACGTGTTACTGAACGTTCTTAAAATATTGTTATTAGAAATTATTTTCGTTAAAACTTGAGCATGTATGTGCTTAAAAGTTTTAACGGTTAATTTTTTCTACGGATCTTTTTTGAGCCAGATATCGAATGTTGCGCAATACTTAACGACGTCCTTTCTTTTCACGTATTATTATTCTTTATAGTTAGTTCCTTGAATTGCATAATTAAGCGTTTAATTTAAATGTGAATGCTTCGTTCTCTTCCTACATTACGTTAATGTGCAATACGTAATCGATCATACGATTTGTTTTTGCATCATTGATTTTTGTTCAAAGTATACGACACATTTTAATTTAAAATGGGTTATTAACGATCGACATGAAAAACTCTGCAAACGTATCATTTCATGTTAATATTCTTGCGGTTAATAATAGCTATTGTTTCAGATCAAATACAGATAAAATTGCACAGTTCCATTTATGATAAAAATTGAGAAGTAAATAATTCTTTTCGTACCAAAGAATCAGAATTAGACAATTATGTTTGCTGCACAGTATTAATAATATAAACTTTTAATGATAATTATCACAGATTGCGAGAGAGATAACCATCATTAAGAGCAATTAATCAGGTGTTCTACGATAGAATAATAATAGATTTGTAAAAATTTACAAAAAGAACTTATTAGATATGATTTATTAGCATCAGTTAATGAACTTTCTTTCTAATAGCGGATAAAAATATACGTAATACGATCACTATATTATTATCATGACAATGTTTGTCGTTAGCTCGTGCTCGCTCGACATCAGAGCAGCGTTTTTGCAAACGTATATAGAAGGTAAATAAACATGTGCACGTGATTGTTAAGGCGTTACTCATGAAAAACACACATCAGAATGTCTCGAAGGACAATAACACACTTCAATAACACACTTTGTACGTGAAATTTTAACGTGATATCTGAGAATACTAAAATAATACTAAATTCGGCAGTTAATCGAGAAATCACAGTCAAAAATTTTAGACATTTCCACTTCTTTAAATCGAACGAGCACATCTATTTACTGAAAACAAATGTAAATAGCTGACTTCAATATAAATAGTTTCTAACGGCATACTGTTATAGGCTTAATCGATCAATTAATTGCTAACTTCGTTTGTAAATTAGGAAAGATATCAATGAAAATGAGGAAGATAATCAATTTTAATACGTTAAATTATGCCCTCATCTTCGTCCAACGACTTGACCTCGATCTTAATTTCAACTGTGTGTCGCGAATCGTCCGATTGTGATCTAATTTAATACATGAATTAATTCATCAACGAGATTAACAAATTGCAATTGTCAATCGAATTACGCGACATGCACAAATACGAAAATCTTTGGCTTATCAATTATTTGCATCGTTTTATAGATAACAATGAAAGCATTGCATTAATTGTTTCCGGAAACAAAAAAAAATGCTTTTAGGCAAGTTTTTCATTATTAATTTTCGTTAATTTTGTCAAATTGGTAATTATATGTACATTTTTCAAGTTTAAGAACTCAACAAATTGCAGAGTTATATAATGCCGCATATATTATCTCGGTATCTCTTTTTTTTTTTTTTCGTATCGCTCAACCACAATATAGCACCGCAAGCACTAAGTTAATTGTTTATTCACTCATGAAATAAATTAACGAAAAACCAACTTCAACTAAAAAAAAAGAACATGTAGCTTTGTACTTTGAACGGCAGCACTTTGTACATTTCGCATATTTTATCGCCGATTGAAAAACAAACAACAAAACAACAAAATGATTCATAATATACGTGTTCTTTTTCGCAAGAGAGGCACGTTTGTCGCAATAATATCTGCATGCAGGGTAATCCTCGAAAATCCTATGTCAGCGATTTTTACATCTGATCGAGCGTGGTTTTTAGAACCATTCATTGACTATCAACATTCCCACCCTCACTCGGCGTTGGTACGGTAATCTTCGAGAGTTGTTCGCCGGAAATTAAATAAGAGAGCAAGTCTAGACGCACCCGTCTCTCCAGCGCGTTGCTATGCGCCATCGGTGTGCCACGTCGCCGGAAAGTAATGTTCGTCTTTTCTCAGAAAGACCAAGATAAAGTCGATAAACGACACTTGTTTGGTTCGAACAGAAATTTGTAATTCTCGTTATCACCTGATGACGAGATAAAAAACCTTTTTTAAAAATTGTTTAAAGGAGTGTTCTTGCCACATATTTGTCGCTGAAGTGCGATTTAAATATCATAAAATTTTTATGATATTTAAATAATATTTTTGGCGACAAATGTGTGGCAAGAACAACTCCTTTATAAAATTTTTATGATACTTAAATTGAAATTAATCTAAGATAAATGATAATTATTTCCACCATTGTTGGTCGCGAAAGGCAAACATCGCTCTTCATTTCAAAGAAAAAGTTGTTCTTGCGATAGCATATGAATAAACACATTCATGCTAACAGTTTGCTTATTACATATCATCACAAATAATTGCTGAAAAGATAACGTACAAATCGCAATTTAAAATGAGGCAAATCTATAGCCTGCAGAAATTCGTGAAAGGAAAAAAGTGTTTTGTAGATGTGTTGTGTAGATTTTTCTTTAGAATAATTTGTAAAAAAAAGTTGGCATGTCTAGTATAAGAATAGATATATATTTATATGCTAAAATGTGATGTCATTCCGAATGATAATCCACGATTCATTCGGATAAAGGTCAAACTTCAAAGTTTACATCTTTTTTCAAATTTTAACACGGAGACAGACACTCCCATCCTGTCTGTGCGATAACCCACTCTACGATACACAGCTTAATCAATTGCAGAAGCATACATAAACATGCAAACCAGCCGCGCCGTTAGCCAGTCTTGTTCTCGCAAGCGTCGGTGATACATCGAATCATGTCGCTACTAACCGGTATTTTGGGCAAGCGTTACAAGCTACAATCGAGTGATAAGTTCGACGAGTACATGAAAGCCTTAGGTGAGATGACACGTGTTGTTACGGATACAGCAAAATGTCTCACCGACATTTTATACGCAAATTTTTTGATCAGAAATTAATTTTTTTTTACTAAAAATGTTCAAGTGAATCAAAATGTGAATTAATAGTTTTTAAATTATAGCGATCGAAAATGAAGAGCCTTTCGAGCGATAGAAATATCTACGGATAATAAAATTTTATTCTCCGTTAATTTCAAGTGGATTTCAGTAGATATATAAAAATTATCCCCGTCGAAACTCGACACGATACAATATGCTGTCCATTAATTGTGTAATCTTTTTTTATTCTTCTTTTACAATATATTTGTAAAAATCTGTAAATCTTTTCAATTAATTTAAACGGTTTAAAGTTAAAAACGCGTGCTATTTATAGGGTTCGCGAATTATCATTCGGAATGACATCGTTTTTACGTGTGATATGAAAAATAAATGTAAAAATATGTAAAATGTGGAAAGGTTTGCGATATTTTTTTTTTAGTATAGATAAATCCTTTTAACATTAGGTTTTAAAATTTTTATAATAAAAAATTGTTCTATAAATATGATAAACTTAAGAACGAGCTGTTTTGTGTGATACAAATATATCCATAAAATTAGAAGTTTATCATGAAAGATACATAAAATTACACACAATTTTTTAAAATAGTACTTATCTTCTAGGAGTAGGCATGGTGACGCGTAAAATGGGTGCGAGTGTCAGCCCCGTGGTCGAATTATCGGAGAATGACGGAGTTTACACCTTGAAGACGACTAGCCCCTTCAAAAACATGGAGATAAAATTCAAGCTCGGAGAGGAGTTTGATGAGGAGACCGCGGACGGCAGGAAAGTGAAGAGCGTCTGTACTCTGAATGGTAACAAACTCGTGCAAGAGCAGAAAGGCGAGAAGCACACTACCATCGTGAGGGAATTCACGTCTACAGAGATGAAAGCGGTAAGCATATCTAAAAATATAAAAAAAATTAATTTATAGTTGGACATTAATGAATTTAGATTGTGATAAAAATAGTTTTCGATTATATTATAAATATAACAATGTAATAATGATGGTAGATGTCTATTAATTTAGCGACATGATATATAAATATTTCTAAGTCTTTTATCCATAAATCGATAACAATTTGTATTGATCAAGCTATATAACTGTTCTGAGAATATTTATTACTCGCACTTTTACGTAACTAGTTTTAGATCGTCAATGTAATAGGCATCGTTGTGCATCGTCATCTATCTACCATCAAGATAATATTGAGTAAATAGTAAGCGAGAAGTATCCATATTTTATGTGGGCAAAGTTCTTGAAGATCCGATTATAAGCTTATACTAGTTTTATTGAGGATAGCTATAAACGTTTGAATAAAACATTAATATATAGGATGGCAAAAATAGTATGCTATAACACTTCTGCTATATGCAAACATATAGAATGGCAATAGTTAAAATCTAGTCTTAAAAAAAATTATTTTTATTACCATATTTTCTCTTTAAATTGCAAATTTTGTCATTATCTTTTGTATATTTTTGCATAAGATTAAAGCGTGTTGCATTAGGTGTCCCACTCAGTATGTGAAAGTTGTAGATAATACTTTAACAATTCGTAATAATAGAACGTGAATTCGATCATTATAACAATGACGTGGCTAATCGTGCAGAAGATGCATTTATCATTCGTACGTGCTTACGTGTATCCTTCCTCTTCAAACACATGAACTTTGATTCGTATCGCTCGTACGGGCCGCAGGAGTTACCGATTAAAGTACAAAAGCTACGTGGAGGAACGCCATGTCAAGGGATCGGTTGCATGAGCGGCTAATGTCATAATGATTCGTCAAATGTCCGGTCAATTATCGCGTGCGCTTCTCCTGTTCGTGACACGTACAATTCTGCAGCTCCGTGCTCCAAAACGGTGCCAATAAAGATCCATTGATCCGTCTGGCGACACGATCCTTGTGTTAATGCCGTGAGACACCGGTGCTCCAATAATTCCCGCACTCTTTCTCTCTCCCTCTTAAGTAGAAATTACTATTAATAAGAGAGATTACTATTATGGCAACGCTATTGCTATAAAGCATTACTGACATGTTATTTTATATTATAGATCATGAAGGTCGACGACATTGTCTGCACAAGGGTATACAAGGTTCAGGAATAGAGGTATCAAGCTGAAGACGTGCACAACCACTATATCTGTGCCAGAAGCACTCTAAGAAGGTGTAAATTATTGTTTAAAAGCTTGTTGTTTAAACACGAAGAAAGTATATTTCTACGGCGGTAAATAGCATTGAAACTATATATGTAATACTACTATATTGCTAGCAAAGCTGAAACGCTGCCGAAAACATTACGGGACAGACATATATGAATCTGCATAAGAACCTCTCACTTCCACAATTCGTGTACTTTGACGCAAATGCGCATGCACGTTGAGTCAGCTGAACCTAATGAAATTGTGTATTTATGGCTGGTTTATGCTTCAGTCTTAATCTTAATCTTAGTCTTAGTCTTAACTTAATCTTAAGGACTCGTTTATGCTTCCCTGGAAATTCGGACTACGCATGTGCAAATGTAACGAAACCTAATCTAACCACAAATTGTAATAGACCCCGGTGCTGCAGATTATAGTGAATATTAAAATGAATCGTTAGCGGCAAAAAACTTTAATGTTTGGAATGGCACTTTTGTTATCAAGTGCCTATGCAGCATGTGTATTATTAAGAAATTAAAAAAAAATAAAGAAAACCACGGAGATACGCTGTTCAGCCACTGAATCGAAAAAGACACGAAACTGGTCATTTCTTTTCTTTAATGAAAGATATGCTGAATATTGAATACGATCAGGAACAATTTTTTAAATATACACGGATCGAAAACCATTATTTCGCGCGGTTTCGTGCTGCGTCGGACGTCAGACTTACCTCATTGGCTCGGCCTTAGGACATTAGGGACTAAAGTTAAAAGATGGGATCTTTCCAAGATTAAGATTAAGACTAAGATTAATGGCCGGAGCACAGACTTTTGCATAAAGCATAACGCATAAGCATAAGGAAATTGATTGGTCCATTTCCTTATGCATTTGCTTATGCTTATATATAGACCAATCAATTTCCTTATGCTTATGCGTTATGCTTTATGTAAAAGTCTGTGCTCCGGCCTTCAGACTAGGGAAGTATAAACGCCCTTATGGCGTTCTACGTTATCAACTCTTAAGATTAAGATTAAGACCGAAGCATAAACCAGCCATTACATTCGTGTCATTCGTGTTTGTCACATTCTCCTAACGTCACGTTTATTCCAACGTTTATTCAAAAATTATAAAAATTTTAAAAAGTTATAAAAATAATAATAAAATGCGATCTTGCTACATTTGCAGAAGAAAATCATCAAGAGATAAAGATATTTCTTTGGCCTGTTCTACAATACGTCGTATGTCTGATCTGAATACGACTTGTCATTCTACAATATAGTCGTAAGTCGGTGTAACAACAAATATAAAAATGGAAAGTAGAGTGATGAGAAATTATTTAAATCTATTATTAATTTTGTTACATATAACAAAAATTAGATTATGTTTAAGAAAAAGATGCAAAATAACAAGAAGGTGGTGGGTAAAACCACATATTTCAAGAAATATGAGACAAACTCATGGTGCTCATCGAACATTATTTACATATTTTCGGACGAATAATCATGAGTTTTTTAAACTTACAAGGGCTGCGTTCGGGGAGCGCGCTATCAGCGCTATTATGTCACTCTATCCTTGTTTTATGTCCAATGAACGATAAAGATAGAATGATGCGATAGCGCTGATAGCGCGCTCCCCGAACACAGCCAAGGATGTCGGTGCAACAATTTGATCACTTACATGATCTCTTATATTATATTTGCATCCAGTCGTAAGGCCTATCGGAAGTCGGAAGCCGGAAAAGATGAGAGTTGACCATCTCTCGTTACGATAACGACAACCGACTCCCGACAGCTTCATGCGACAGCCGACAACCGAGTGCGCATGCGTCCGACATACGACGTATTGTAGAACAGGCCTTTGCCTCTATTGGCCGGAGCACAGACTTTTGCATAAAGCATAATGGCCGGAGCACAGACTTTTGCATAAAGCATAACGCATAAGCATAAGGAAATTGATTGGTCCATTTCCTTATGCATTTGCTTATGCTTATATATAGACCAATCAATTTCCTTATGCTTATGCGTTATGCTTTATGTAAAAGTCTGTGCTCCGGCCTATAACGTTCAAAGTATCTTACATCTGTTTTCTGTCTCGTTCTCTCGGCGCGCATATCGCTTGGATGCCGCGAAATAATAGGTCTGTTCTTTATAGCTGAACTGGCTGTACTAGTTCAGAGTTTATCTTTTTCCCTCCACATTGGAAGGAGATCGTGGTTTTCTTTTATTTTTTTTTAGTTGCACTCGAGAAATTTGAAGGTTTAGAAATACATTTATTTCTATTAACTTAACGACATGGGTAACCACTTTATGAGTGAGTCTGAGATCGAACACTCGCGACGTTTCTAACGTTCTCTATTTTACACTTAGTTTTCGCTCCGTATCAAATTCGAAGAACTTCTCGCTCCGGAATCGAGGAAGCGCTTTATATAGGCTGCTTGGTTTTTCCTGATGGTTCGAGAGGGACACAGAGCGCTCGTTAAAATTTTGAATGGAACGGCTATGTAACCAAAACAAATATCGGCCTTGTTTACAGGTAAACGATGATTGAACGGACGGCAGAACAAGTAATTATTTTTCACGCGATCGCTAACACCGCTTATTGGGAAGATACGTGACTAGTAATATAGTAGTATTACATATATGATTGAAACATATGTGTAAACCTTTGACTATGAAAATATGGACTGCCAGTTACCCCCACTTTTCCTATCTAATTCGTGTATAAGAACATGTATCAAACATCTTTCGATATTTTTTGAGATTTTAGCCTCGCCTCGTATGGCAAATTACGGAAAATTCAAAGTACGTAAGAAGGATGCAAGGATTATAGACCCGTAAAATTGCAGGCTGGAATCATTTATTTCCCCTTTTTTGTATTTTCTCGATTCGCAGCCTTCCACAAAACAATATGAGTGAAATTGATAGGGCCGAAGATATATTACGAAAGTTTGTATCCGAAAGCGCTGATATACACCGTCTGTCCGGAAAGTTCCGGGACTGATTTTTTTCCCGGCCAATAAGTTGCCGCTCGTTGGACAACTAAAGAATCTTTTAGTAGCAACAATTAACCATAAACATACGTTTGGTTAAACGGCCTCGATCACTCTGTTTAATACTAAAAGCTTATGAATTTATTTCGTTTTTTTGGCCTGTCAAAAAAATCGTGATGGAGCAGAGAGCAGTCATCAAATTTAATTTTAAACTCGGTAAAACGGCTACGGAAACGTACGAGTCCATGAAAATCGCTTACGGTGATGACTGTTTATCACGTTTAAAAGTATTTGAATGGTACAAACAATTTAAAGAAGGACGAGAGTCGCTTAAGGATAATGCGAGGAAATTTTTTCCTGTTGCACGACAACGCGCCCGCCCACGGCTGGAATTGTGACTCAGTTTTTGACACAAAAACAAGTTCCCGTACTCCAGCATCCTCCATATTCACCTGATCTAGCTCCGTGCGACTTTTTCCTCTTTCCACAACTCAAGTTGCATATGAAAGGAAAATGCTATGATAATATTGAAGATATTCAGGTCAATGTGACGCGTGAATTGAGGAAAATTTCAAAAGAAGCATTTTCGAACAGTTTCCAATGGTTGTACGAACGTTCTAAACGTTGTATTGATATTAGAGGAGATTATGTAGAACATTTAAAGTAATAAAAAATAAAAACTCAATTTTTTCTATTTTTTTAAACGATAGTCCCGGAATTTTCCGGACAGACGGTGTATAGGCAGAAAGTTTTTATCGTATAATACGCATGATCTTCTGCATTTGGCAAACGATGCTCGTAATTTTGGACTTCTAGATCATTTTTCATGTTTTCCATTTGAAAATAATATGACTTTTCCGGAAAATAGTACGAAAACCATCTCAAGAATTGCAACAAATATATAAAAAGTTTGAAGAAAAGAAATGTAGACACTCACAAATTGTACCTACAGTGTAGGCGGGCGAAAGTAGTCAAATGAGCCACAAGCAGGATCATCCTCGGTGTAGTTCGGGCATTATAGAAGTTCGCTCGAGAGTGACTCTTCGCTCATTTCTCTACGCACTTTTATACCCTAAAGAGTAGTAACATAAAAGAAATAAAACATTAGACGGCGGATCGATCTGTCGGCAGCGAATCAATAAATTCCACAACAATATAATATCATTTTTATATATTTAAATTATTGTCAAAGATTCAAGTCGATATCATGCACTAAACACGCACCTTTGACACGCACGCTATTGTATGGATTAGTTATTTCCGGCCCCATCGCCAGATCTTTGCTATCAACGTGAAGTTGGCTCTAGCAATCCATATTTTCATAGTCAAAGGTGTAAAACAATTATCACTTATATTGAAATGTAATTTAAAAAATTGCGAAACACATGTTCTTTTTATCAAACTAAAATTTACACATTAGATGTGTTTTGTAAAAAGAGTGTAGCAAACGACAATTGAAACATAAATTAACAACTACGTTGTGCACATTTTCTGATGTATTTAAGTATTGTATGTTACATAATGAAATATGTAATAACGCCAATGAATTATGTTCCGTATACCAGCAATTGCTGTGTTACCTACTTTGTGAATAATGTTTGCCATATGCTTTTTTTTACGAATAATAATGATTAATGGAAGTGAACATGCATCGTCATTAATTTTTTCCCCCAACTTTAATCTTAACATAGAAATACAATAATATGGTAAAATAAAATTTAACGTTTTATTATTTAAAAGATAAATCTAACAATAAGAGGAATTGTGAAAAAAAAATCATTGGAGTGAAAAAAAATATAAAATATATTTATATAATTATTCATTATTAATACAATTTTAATAGATACCTGCTGGATCTTGATTCTGATTTCATAAGAACTCTTAATAACTCAATAACTTAGTCTTACTGTCTATATTATCACTGTTTAGCTATTTGCCATCTATATCCTATCTAATCATCCATATCTATTAATGGAGAGATCTGTAAGCGAAGAATACTTTTATAGTACACGAAATATCGATATCGAATATATGAAAACTGAAATTCAATAAGTACTGAATAATGTTTATATCATTGCTATAATTTGTCGTGGTAAGCCTTACATAATATTCCATGTAACAGGTGTGTTCGTTGTCGGCTTTAACCATATATTGAAAGCACAATAGTCCGGTACTATCAGTTCTTAAAGAAACCTGATTAGCACACGATAATGCTTTCATTGCTGGTTTAATATGTGCGAATTTGAAACTGGATGTCCCCGTTGAGGTACATTGAAAAGTGTCTATCAAATTGCTATCGTGAGGTAAAGTGATGTGGCAAATGCCACGTAGGCCGTTTGTACTAATCCTAAAGAAAGGTTCTTCTGGTGATAAACACAACTAAAATATAAATGTATCAAAACAAGTATGAATTATTCGAGTTATTTTAAAGTTTGAGTTGCCTCGAGATATTAACTGATGAAATCACTCGCTGTACCTTGACTAAATCGCTAGTTTGATCCAACTCGCCTATGATATCCTTCAATAATTCCGTTTTCAATACTACTTTATTCACAACGTTTTCCGACTCAAGATGAAAGTCTAATAATGTATCTACTTCTAGAGTTTTCAGAGAGCAATCTGTTATAAGACCGTCTTCTTCAATAATAACACTTACAGGATAACCTATACCCTGCAACCAATAATAACAGTATTTATATGTTTGTGATAATGCTATATTTTTTATTTCAATGTTGTTTACTTTGTAAAATATCTGTACTGCAACAGAATCTTCTTGCGAAGCAGGCCAGAACACACGGAGACATCCTACCAATATGTTTAAATTGATTGAAAAAATCACATCCTCCTTCAATTCAAATTCATCAAAAATTACAGATGGAATATATGCACTAGCCTGCATACATTTTGCATCTTCAACGGTAAATTTTAACCCTTTTTCACTAGCGAGGCAAATAGCTGTCTGAGTAATACATAAATTTACATTAATGACAGAAAAACAATGCATGCATTCATGTATGAAGATATCTTAAGTACCTCTTTAAAATTGATAGCTTTCAATAATTGTATTACAGTTTTTAAATTTATCATTCCTATTTTTGCAACCAAAGTATGGTCTTTCGTATTAGAAAACATTGTACTTGTATGAAACCTGATATAATAATAAACCGTCAAATTGTTTTTGTGTTAGTTGCTGATGTAATAATTTCTCATTATCCACACTGGCAAGCCAGGCAGCCAAGACGTGTTTACAAGTGAAAGCAGATCGATCTTTTAGTACCTGTTGTCTGTAATATGATAAAAGTCTTGTAAGATTTTTTCATAATATACAAGTTTAGATGAACTATTTTAACATGTGCAAGTATGAAAAAGCAATAATATATTTGAATGTAAATGATTTAAATGTTATACCTAAAAGCAGTACAAGTACAATAATTTATTTCAGGGAAAAGTGTGTACAATGCTCCAGAATGTCCCTTGACTTGCATCAACCAATTGGCTTCATTTGTACTCTTACAAGATTCTGTTATAATCACATTGGACGTAGAAATTTGTGTCACTCGTTTCTGTTCATATAAATCTAAAGCTCTTTCAAATACTCCGTCAAATAATTTGTATAGTTTTAGCAGATTTTGATCAGAGACTAGAAAGTATTTATTTTATCAAAACCACCAGTAAGATTAATGATATTTAATTAGTAAATATACATTGCCATAGTTTTATCGAGATAGAAAATGTAAGCAAATGTAGCTAAATAGAATATTATTAAATGACAAATAGTATATCACAATGTCTACATACACTTTTTTTCTCTCTCAAAATCACTGGCTGTTTCTTTTAGTACATTCTCCACGAAAACCGAATACTTCTCATCGTATATTGTAGCTTGACGTGTAGTAATGTTTGATTTACTTGGTTCAGCTACTTGTTGATCCAAATCCATTAATTAGAATTATATAAAAGTTCTTGAGTCTATACCTGAATCCTTTGAACCAGGATAATGCTTTTGTTATCATCAAATCAGGTTTTGTCAGATTTCTGTAATTGTTTACAATACAAAAATATAATATCTCATTTTTCAGACAAGTATGTATGTATAAAAATAAATATGTCGGAAATGTCGTAAGAGAGAGAGTGACCGTTCATAAATCGTTTCATATTTCAAGAACTTCAAGTAAAGTAGAATTCATACTCCGATGTACAAAGTGTCGATATCCAATAGAAAAATGTGTTTTCTAGGGATTTTGTAGAATGCCATGTTTGTTTTTAGAATGATGGCAGATGTGTAAATCTTTCTTGACCAATTGGAAAGCAAAATACAACAGTAATGCCAACATTATTATACTTGATCGATTAGATTGGTGCACCTGATTCTTTGAAAACAGGTGGAATATAAATAAGGTTGAAGGCGGTTGTGTCCGTTATGATTGTGGCTATCGCGTCTTTGTGAATTTTCGATAGTTTTCACACAAATTGGTTTATTTTCGTATTAAAATCATTATACGCGGTGGCACCTGTTAATAAAGAGTTAAAATGAACAATCAACGAAGACGTGCTAATGATTTTACGGATTCCCTGAACAGTTTTCGTAAGTACAACATTTGTATACCGTACAACTAAAAATTGAATGAGATTTATCATATCATATTACACATATATGCGTTGCGTTAAAAGGACAAGTTGTTACAGATTTTACGTAATTTATTGCAGATTCTATTTAAACATTTATTTTAAATATTGAAATATTTTTTATTATTTTACATTTTATTGTATGTATGGCAATATGTATAAATTTTTGAACGTGATAAATAAATAAATATATTTATATATGTGTGTGTGTTTACAGGTCAGGTCAATGATGAAGAGAACAGTATATTTGAATCAATTTCACAAGATAGCTTAGATACAGATTCTATAAGAAATAGACAATGTCGAGATCATAATCGTGCAAAGAATGATGCATCTCAAGCAGATTCCATCATTCTAGCAGGTAATTTTGTTAGACAGCCACGTACATCTGATTCGTTCAAGGCAATTCAAGAAAACTATATCAATACATATAAGGACAGACAATCTATATCAGATATCTTGTCTGTATCGGATAAAACATCATATATTTCAATCAAACCTGATTTTAATAAATGTATAAATTTGTTTCACAATGAACATCTGAACGATAATGATACTTCTAGGAAGTCAAATTTTTCTTCATTGTCTGAACTTAGAGGCAGCAAAGACATTGAGTATCATCAGTTGAATAAAAACAAATCTTTGATGGTACAATTAATTAAAGATTTTCCACGTTCTATATCATCAAATTCATTGAAAAGTATAACCCCATCTAAAACAGAGTTTAGAAAGTTTAAAAGCTGTATTATGCTGAATAGTAACTTGAAAAAAGATACAAATTATAATATTAAATCTGACAAATTATCTTTAGCAGAAACTGCAACAAAAAGTAACCAAGAAAAAGATGATACATCTTTTTATGATGCATTTTTGCTGCCAAAAACTTCTGTTTTACAAAACCAAAAGGAATTTTATTCTACTGAAAAATGTCAGAAGCTAGATTCAAGTAGTGAAAGAAGTTCAAAGGAGGAACTTAATCCTACTGAGTTGAGAAAATTCCTACAATCACTGGATCAAAAGTCAATAAGAGAAGAACCTGTACAAGAACGTTTGAGGCGCATGTCCACAAATTATAATGATTCTCCTAAAAATTTCACAGAAAGATTGCTAACAATAATCGAAGAATCATTTGCAATTGATTCCCAAGCGAATGTTAGTTTATGTAGATTAATCGAAGAGTTTCAAAAGTGCAATTTTATAGAAGATGAAACCGCTCCCGAATGGATTCATTCATCTCCAAGTATGTCAATATCAATTCGCGTGAGAAAAGGAAGTCAAGAATTCAAAAATGATCTGCTGCGGAAATCTGTTGGTGCAACACCAAATAAAGATTTGTATTTATCAACGCCTCCTCGATTTAATATTAATAGCCCTAATAAAGCTTATCGACGTACGCCAAAAAATATTGCACATAATATAAGAAGTCCACAGCTTGATAACACAAGTACATTCGAGTCCTTGGAAGCATACTGTGAAAAATTATATCCTAACGAATTCAAAGCTCTTGCAGCACGAGAGAAGAATCAATGTCAGTCACCTTTGAAAAACATGAATAGGATTTTGCGTGCATGTGAAAATCAAATGGCTTCTCTGGAGAACTCGCCCAATGTTCATGAACAACTCAAACAAGCTAGAAGGTCCACCTCGGATTCGATAAGCCAACGTAATACAGTACCTGAAGCGCTATGTAGGTTGCTTTCATACGAGCAATGCGATAAAACCGATTCGCAGAGTGTACCTGATATACTTAAGCAACGAACAGAGCATAATAAGCGTTACGAAAGAATTAAACCAGATAATCTGAGAAACTCACTTATACATGAAATCGCGAAGAAAAGGCAAAAGTGTATTGACACGGTGAAGACAATGGAAATGGAAGCGGATTCGGAGTCAATGGAAGCACAGAAAATATGCCCAACCACTAATAACAATAAGCCCGTCAATCCGTCAATTGTTAACGATGCTAAATTCATGGAAACATTGAAGTGTGTGAAGAAATATCAGGATTATCTGGAGCAGAACAAACCCTTACTTAGTTTTCTTCAACGATCAGAATCATACAATTCTCCACACGACAAAAAAAATACTAAGAAGATCCCTAATGAAAACTTTAATACTGATATTACAACTGTACCTTCTAAGACCACATTGAGAGTACCAAAGTCTTCAACGACGAGAAACAAGTGTATAAGCCCTTCGTTGCTAAAACCTCACTTTTCTAATAAAGTAACTGGTTCGAAGCCTAAATTATTTTATACTCCTGGAAAGACGACTGTACAGACAACTATTAAGAATTCTAGGCCAAAATGCACATACTTTCCTAATAAGTTAGATGCAACGAGTAAACAAAAAGAAAACCATGTCAGTCCACATGAGAAAAGTATTTATCGTCAAATTGGAACTTATGATTACATAAAATCACCGATTGCGTCATATATAAGAGGCACGGATCCTTATCTGGTGAAAAATTTACGACCTAAAACGGATGAAAATCTATTGACACCGAGAAAAAAGCAGGCTAATCAATCTTCTAGTTCAAAGCCCAACCTGAAATTCCGACTATCTCCAAAAGAGGTAAGTAAACAATAATAATGATATAATTTGCAACGTTTCCATGCAATACATTAAGAATCTAAATTGTTTTAAATTATTTCAGAAATCGACTCAAACACCAGTAAGAGAAAACATTGCCAATAACTTTTCATATCCAAAAGTGAATTACAAACTCCCATCGCATGTACGCACGGTATGTAATTTATATGTCAAAAACCACATTTGATAAATAATTGTTTAAAGAAATATATTTACGACAACTTGGAATTTTTTGCAGATAAAAGAAGGAGAAAATTTGAAAGTGGGAAATCGCGTAAACCAATTACTGCGCTCTACGCAAGATAAAGTTGTGATCCGACACGAGGGTAAGACTATATTTACTAGCAGGAATTAATTCATATATATAAAAAGTTCAGAAGTTTATAAATATATATATATATTTGGGAAAAATATGTATAATGTAATTTTTATATTACATTATTCAGGTCGACCAAAATCAGCTCAAACAGATTATTTGGAGCAATCTGAAATTCATTACGATTCCGCAGAAGACTCCGTGCATGTTGAGCAGACAGCTCGCAAAACATGTTTTTCCCGAGCGCAAAAAAATTATTAACTTTTTTTAATGTTTAATATAATACTTTAATTTTATTAATTGAAAAAGAGATTGGTTAGGAGTGTGTGAAGCTAGCATCTCATTCTCGTAGATTTTTTATTTACACTAGAACAATACAAAGCGCGCGCTTCGCGCGCGTCATTCTTTACGATACGTCTAAGATACGTCTGCAAACGCCACAAAGCAGAGATAATTTATGTTGCTCGCCGCTGCGATTAACTATATACTATTATACTATTAATTCCTTGATACTCGTAATAACTATACTAATATAGCATCTATATTAGCATGATGGAATACGTGAATAATTTCGTTGATAAAATAGGACAATTGGAAGACGCTGGAATAAAGTTACCAGAACAACTAGCTGTCAAAAATTACATTTCTTTGACATTTCTTTTTATCTTACAGATATTTGTACAGAATATTGTGATATGTTACTCATTATTTGTACAGAATATTGTGATATGTTCCTCATTTATGATAAAATGAAGAAGAAGTGCTACGTAATGTAGAAGAAAATCCTACAATGAGTATTCGTGAAATTAATCGTCAAGTTGGAATGTCAAAAATAATGGTTCATAAAATATTAAAAGAAAATGAAATGCATGCGTTTACTCAAAGGTACAACATTTATTACCTCAAGATTATGCGCAAAAAGTTTTTACATATTCAATATTATTTAACTGTTATTAAAATAAAATATTGTGAAACTATTTCAATTATTTAATAATTTTATTGTACAAATATCTGTAAGATAAAAAGAAATGTCAAAGAAATGTAATTTTTGACAGCTTGCGTTTTGTGTATCATAATATTTTTTTCTTTATAATATTTTCAACAAAATCTTAATTGCGTAAACAATATTTCTGTTAATATGTATTAGCAAATTTATTTTCCAAATATTAATACTGACAATAGGGGAGCGA